CGCTGTGTGTGTGTGTGTGTCGCCTCCACGGTGGTTAAATCAGTGATGGTTAGGCTGTGTGTGCATGAAAAGATTGGACTGTATATAATCCCTCATAATCCACAGGTTTAAATGACGAGTGGCTGATTTAGGATGTTCAGTCATTTGTACAGTGCTAAGGAGTTTATGTTGTATGTGAAATCCCCAGCTGCTGTAGTAATTACCATTATGCTCGCGTGAGGAGGTTTAAACGCAGCAGCTCGCAGCACACACCGTTTATTTTCTTGGACTGTCTCCTGCACATTTGGCGTTCGCTAAACTGGTGCTTACATTCCTGCAGGCCCAAAGTAAATCACACGTTGGATAAAATTACATTTTTCGAGCATTTCTTTGGCTGGCTTTATGGTTTCTACTCCCGAGGGAATCTTCAACCTTTTAACCTGCTCTGCTGAGACGATCCAGCACCCGAAAAACACTTTGCCCTCAATCGCCCCACTCTGTCTGAAAGACTGATTTCGCACACTTGCCCATTTGTTCATATCGGCCCGTTTCTGCACATTTCTTTCATCGTCAGAGGCACAAAGCTGTGGAGCCACCGACCAAGGAAGATGCTACATTTAGCTAACTATCTTTAAAACCATTAACAACACATAAATAAGCCCGAGCACGTCACAATCAGCCACAGTCAAAGACTGTTCACCCAAAAACACAACTCTAAGAACACACACCAGCTGTGCTTCAACACAAGATGAGGAAGCTGTAGCTGCACAGGACACCTGCAGGAAGTGCTAAAGGTTTAGCGCCGCACTGTTGACTGCTTGGGTAAGATGGCCAGCTCCATTGCAACCACAGGAAATAACTCAATGGAGATGAAATAAAAACTCGATTTAAGAAAGAGTTTGCTTAAGTTAAAAAAATGGTATTCCCAACAATCAGATGGCCCCCTTTTAGGAACTATTGAGTTCTTCTTCTTCTTCCCCTTGGTGTTTGACCTCGACGTGTGAGCTAGCCGTGGATCTGACACACAAGCTGTGCACGCTTACTGGAGTTAGCCCCGCCCTAAAATCTCGCCCACTTCAAGTTCATTTTCTCTTAAACTTCTGTCCAATCATCCAGTAGAGTCGCTCCCTGCTGGACAGTTCAGTTCAGTTACATTTGCCATGTATGGCACCAAAGCAGAACAACAGTTGTTGAATATTGTACGGTAAAGATCCTTCGATAATACAGAGAAACAACAACAATCAGAGCGAGACCTCTGTGGCGGTTCTGGTTTCATTTTTTAAATCTACTTTAAACATAAAATCTGTTCTTTTTAGAAAATAAAGGCTCTCGTTTAGGATTAGAAAAGGATCCAAGGTTAGGGTTCAAATGAAACAATGTTTTTCTAAACTGTGTTTTTGCCTGTGAGGCTGACATCCTGCAGCTCTTCCAAAGGAGGATACCTGAGTTTGGAGGTGATCCTGGCTTTGATGAAGAAAAGGAGCGAATAGATAAGATAGATCTTTAATGCCACTGTTACAAGAACAATGAAAGACAGTTTGGCATCTCTGCATTAGCAGCATGTAGATTTTACATTATAATTACTTTAGAATAAAAGATACACAGGTATGTACAGCTGTATATGACGCACTCGTACCTGAACATGCTGCTTTTCCATGACCAGGTCTGTCTGTGTTTGGCAGACGTGCTGCTGAAGAGGATCTGTGGTGTGATGTTGACCAAACTAAAAATTATGGATATGGAAGATTTGCAGAGATTAGGATCACAGATGGTGTCCACAGTTCTTACAAACTGCAAAGACTCCTCCAGGTGATACTCGGCTGATCGCTGTACCTGCTGAGGAGATGTTACAGGCTGTTGTAGAAGAACAAAATGGCCTGACGTTGTTAACAAGACAAACCAGACACTCCCTGCTGCTTTTCTCCTCACTACAGTCGAGCGCTGCCACATCACAGGTGTTCTAACCTGATGATTATCCTTCTAATATTGTACTTAAAAGTTGGAACAAGAGCTCTGCAATTAAAAAGTAGCTATTCTGAACAAGTGAACCGTGAGTGCTCCTTCCTGAAGGCTGGTTTCATTCGTCTGCGCCTCCCACGGGTGGATTTTTGCACATTTATCAAAGATTCAAAGCAGGAAAGAAAACGAATTTCATAGAAAGGCCAATAACATTATTACAATAACAGAAACAAATATTTGGAGTTCTCAGTTATTCAAACAAGATAATCATGAACAAACTAAAACTTGTCAGTGCATCATCAAAACCACCCACCCATCCTTCCTTCCTTCCTTCCTTCCTTCCTTCCTTCCTTCCTCGCTCCGTCTACCACATGTCTGGGTCCAGGTTTTAAGAGCAGCCGTCTAATCAGAGACTCCTGGACCTCCTTCAGTTCTTCTTGAAGGACACAGAGTTCTTTCCAAACCTCCTTCTTCTGGCTGCTCCCTGCAGGGATCTCCTCACCCCTTCCCTACCACCCCCCTCTGTCACACCAGCTCTTTGTGCTCTTCTCCTCCTGCCTGGCAGCTCCATCGTATCCACCCTCCCTCCTCTGCACATGTGCAAACCATCTCAGCCTCATGGACTCATTTCTGATCCTGCTCACTCTCAGTGAACATCTGACCAGCTTCAGCTTCAAACCAGCTGAGAGTAATAATCCAGGGTCTCCTCCAGTTGAATATCTCTGAAGCACCTGACCTAGAAGAAGCCCAGCAGGTGTCCTGGTCAGATGATGAACCAGCTCAGCTTGGTCCATGCGGAGGAGGAGCAGCACTGGACTTTCTGCAGCTCGTGTCATCAAACTCATTCACAGATATTTGAGGTCATTCGATGAAAGATGAAACAACTTTTTTAATTCTGCTGCTTTTCAGGCCCCGGGTCACATTCATTTAATTACAGGATTTTAGTCGTAACAGCTGGAAATGTCAAATAATAACAGCTTATTTTGCCCGGCTGTTTTCCATCACGTTTCAGCCAGTTTGATGGTGTAATGGATTCTAAATTAAAGCCTCTGTAGCCTCACAAAGGCCCAATAAAACCAGCGATCTGACTCCATGACCTCCCGATGGTGGCGAGGAGGAGAAACATCGACTGTGAGCCAGACTGTGAGCTCTGCGCTGAAGTGTTTGGAAAAGGAGAGAGAAGAGCTCATCAAGCACAAAATGACCTGCTGGGGTTGAAATGAACGACTTACTTTTACAGTCAAAGATCACAGAGGCGTTCCAGCTCCACTGAATCCACTTCAGATCTGCACCCATCACATTCTTCTGACAATCGCGAACCGGCGAATCTGCCATAACCTCAAACCATTAATATCGATGTCTGGTAATTTCTTTATGGTATAGATACAGTTTACTTACTTGTCAGCAGGTTCAATCGCCTCCCTCAGGAGGGTGGTGTGTCACCACAGTGCAGCTCTTTGTTCTCACCCCTGCTCCGACGTCTACGCCGCTAGATGTGTCCGACAGACCGCTGTCCGTCCTCATCAACGCTGCCCAGCAATAACAGGGCAGGGATGCTGGGAATCTTCTGCACCCTCCCATGAGTTTCCCCAGAGCCCGAGGAGGGCACGACTGATGGGCCTCATGGTCTGCCCACCTGTGTCCTCCGGTGGCTCGTTCACACGGAAGCAGCTGTGCTGTGTTGGCTGAGTGAAGGTCCAGTACCTGCCGCTGAGCTCCATCTTTTCTTCGTGGCTTTTGTGGACCATGTGTGCCATCACACCGAGGCGTGAGTGAGTGCTCCCTGGCCGCTGTGCTGTGCTTCGTGTTGCAGTGTAAACCTGTAAAAAAGGATGGCCCTCAGACATGGGCTGTATCCCAATTCAGGGGCTGCAGCCTTAAAGTACGCAGCCTCAACGATCCTCAAGGGCCGCGTACTCAAAGACCGCTAAGGCCGGAAGTGCGAGGTTTGTGAAATGGACGGTCTAGCCTCCGTTGCGCTGCCCAGGTTGCCTAGCGACCATGATACTAACAGCTGGAAACGTGTCATACAGCTGTGTTTGACAGAAATGAAGGAGAAAATCTTTTGTTCATTTGTTTGTTCCTACATGAGCTTTGATCATTCTCTGTGAGATTAAGCTCAGCTATTGAACGGCGTATATTTTAAAGTAAAGGCTTTAAAACCAAGTTAGTACAAACGTCACTAATGTCACATAACTTTGCCGACATGTGGCCAACAGGAATGTTTTATTGTTCTTCGTTATTAAACATTTGCACATAAATAAGTGATATAATATTCAGTACTTACTTAAAGTTTACTCTTCGGCCGCCCCTCGTCCGCCGTTTTTTTCGGCAAATTTATCCACACCCACTGCCGCGCTATGCATTCTGGGATATGTTGAGCCACAAAGTCTACACCGCCACAGCCTTAAAATTCAGGGAAATGAAGGACGCATTTGAGGGCCGCATTTCGAGCAGCCTTTGAATTGGGACAGCCTTCGTCGCGTCGCTGTGACGTAATCGGCCTTGAAATGCGGCCTTTAAGGCTGCAGACCCTGAACTGGGATACAGCCATGGTCTTCTTTTGTGTCTTTGTTTGTTTTTCTTGCCTCAGCTTTTGGGTTCAGACTCTATTATATCCCAGTCTTTTTCATGTTTTCTGTACTTTTAGAGTTTGGAAGCTTTTTCTTTGTTGTCACTTGTGAAATTCAGGGATGTGTAATATTATGATCTTAAACTTCCTTTTCTCATGTCTGTGGAAAAATGTAATCGCAGAGAAAAAGCTGTCGTAATAAAGGCCTACATGGGGCAGCTTGTTGTCACCCATCAGTATCAGCTGTGCTTCTGGTATTGCATCACACACTCACTTTCTCACAGCGGTGCTGAACAGCGCTTTGTTTTCATGAATCTCTTCATGTCCAGACCTGCACCTGAACAGAAACTTGCTCTGCAGTTTTAGACCTGTTGGCAGTTTTGGAAACTGATTCTCTGGAATGACTCAACTACAACTTACAGTTGAAGCAACAGCATTCGTAATCAAGCTCCACCCCTCACCTGAGACACACCAAGTTTCCTCTCGCTCGCAGCGGGACAGTCAGACTGAACATCAGACCAGCAGCTTCCTCTGGCGAGTCCAGCGTCAGGACACAAACAACACTGCTGCTTCTGGCTGCCGACGCTCCACACTGAAGGTTAGTTTGACTGAAAACACGACTCACAGGAAGCTTCAGTGAAGGCAGCAGAGGAGGGACGGGAGTCACGCCTGACTGTAGTGCCTGTCTGCTGCTTCCAGCTTCACCCGGAGACTCCATGGCTGCCAGATCAGATCTTTGCTGTCCAGTTTGTCTGGACATCTTCAAAGAGCCGGTTCTTCTGCCGTGCAGCCACAGCTTCTGTAAGGACTGTCTGGACAGCTGGTGGAGAGAAAACCCAGCACGCGACTGTCCAGTCTGTCAGAAACAATCTACAATGCACGATCCACCGTGTAACCTTGCTCTGAAGAACCTGTGCGAGACGTTCATAGAAGAGAGAAATCAGATAACTCCGGAGGATCTCTGCAGTCTGCACTCTGAGAAACTCAGTCTCTTCTGTCTGGACCATCAGGAGCTAGTGTGTGTGGTCTGCGGCACTTCGGACAAACACAGCGACCACAAGTTCAAGCCCATCGATAAAGCTGCACAACAACACAAGAATGACCTTCAGGAAACTGTGGAAGCTTTAAAGCAGAAGTTAAAGGTCTGTGAAGAAGTCCAGGTGAACTTTGATCAAACAGCAGGACACATTAAGGCCCAGGCCCGACGCACAGAGAGGAAGATTAGGGAGCAGTTTAAGAAGCTTCACCAGTTTCTAGCAGAGGAAGAGGAGGCCAGGCTGACCGTGCTGTGGGAGGAAGAGGAGCAGAAGAGCTGGATGATGAAGGAGAAGATGGAGGCTCTGAGCAGAGAGATAGCAGCTCTTTCAGACACAATCAGAGCCACAGAGGAGGAGCTAAGAGCTGAAGACGTCTCATTCCTGCACAACTACAAGGCTGTGGTGGAAAGAGTCCAGCGCTGCCCCCTGCTGGATGATCCACAGCTGCCCCCGGGAGCTCTGATAGACCAGGCCAAACACCTGGGCAACCTGACCTTCAGCATCTGGAATAACATGAAGTATATGGTCTCCTACACTCCTCTGATCCTGAACCCAAACACTGCCCATCCGGGACTGATCCTGTATGAAGGTCTGACCACCATGAGGGTTGGAGACCGGCAGCAGCTCCCGGATAATCCAGAGAGGTTTGATCATCTCTACTTTGCCCTGAGCTCAAAGGGCTTTGATTCAGGGAAGCACAGCTGGGATGTTGAGGTTGGAGATAACAGAGGTTGGTCACTGGGCGTGTTAGCAGAGTCTGACCAGAGGAAGGGAAACATACGGTCTGGACTGTGGGGACTGGGATACAGTCAAGGTCAGTACTATGCAGGATCATCAGCAGATCCAGAAGCTGCTCTCTCGGTGAACAAGAAGTACAAGAGGATCAGACTGAATCTGGACTGGACCAAAGGAAAGCTGTCGTTCTCTGACGCTGACACCGGCAAACACATACACACCTTCACACACACTTGCAGTGAAAAAGTGTTTCCATTCTTTGCCACTGTGATTAAATACCCCATTAAGCTGTTACCAGTAAAGTTCTCACTGTCAGTGAAGCAGAACAGTTAGACACAAACAGGAAGATCATTTCTAAAATGTTGGATTGCTGCATTATTGTGTCACTTCCTGTTCCTGATACTAAGTGCAGGGATGCTTTTCTGCAGTTTAATCTGTATAGGTTGTTTAATTGCAAACCTTTGAGAACAACTTATTTCGTAGCGTAATCTTCACATGCTTTTTCTGAATCACCTGCAAATTATATCCATAGTATTCAATCATTGTCTCTTTAGGGATTTGCTAGCTTAGCGTAGCTATGAGCTGAGATCTCAGTCACTAGCAGCATGGTTTCTGCATGTGTGTCAGAGGTTTATACTGGATAGCAAACAATAACAGAAACAAAGTTAAATCAACATGGAAATCACAAATTGATGATCAACAGGAAATACATTTTATTTACTCTGGCAACTTTAATATAATAGAATCAACATTGAAACAATGTCGACATCACTACTAAAGATCAACAGGATATCAGCGGTGTTTCATCTTATGGTAAACAGAACAAAGCACTTCAGAATATTGCATCTACTTATCTGATGTCATGATATACCGTATTTTCCACACTATAAAGCGCACTTAAAATCCTTTAATTTCCTCAAAAATCGACAGTTCGCCTTATGTATGAATCTTGGTTGTGCTTACTGACCTCGAACCGATTTTATGTGCTACACGGCGCTCAAAAATCTGTCAAAAATGTTTTAGTGTGACTTTGGTAGCTACGAAGCCGCACCGCTTGATGGATTGTTGGAGCATTACAGCTACCGTAGTCAGGAGCCTCGTGGAGGAATCTGGGTCCTAAACTCCATCTGTTTCAGGTCCCAAAGTCAAACGAACACTGCAGCATCACTGAGACTTAAAAACTGTCTAAATTCTTTCATCTTTGATAAATGATCAGTGTTGCTGCTTTACCAGGTGTAACAATCAAGTTTAACATCCAGGCATCCATGAAAACAGGATTTATTAAATTCAGCGGAGTTAGAAGTTAGCAGGAAGCTAGCTCGCTAGTTTCCACCTAAACATGATATAGCATGTTCTGACTGAGAGATTTCTGAAACATTCAAACGTACAGCTCTGTTATCACTTCCAACATAAATGAAGACAGAAAACTAAACAGCAGTGACGTTTGTAGGGTTACTGAAGTTGGGCTAGCTGCTATATAATGATGTGCTACGTGCTCGCTAGCGACACAGCTATGTTAGCATAACATAAACACAGTGAAGCTGGAGGATGAACGCTAACTTTTTTGAAGTGGATTAAGCAAGAAGAATGAGTTGAGTAAAGTTTGACTTATCTGACTGTTTAGTTTTGCTTAATGCGCCTTATAGTCTGAAAAACACTGTAGTACAAAGCATTAAAACTAGCTGGTCAACTGTAGATCAATGACTTTCAGTATGAAATATACCACTCTGAGAAAGGTCCAAGTGCTAATAGCTTTGATTTACAATTCAACTGTGAATCCATGTTGTTTCAACCTTGTTGTTGTCACCTGGTCAACTATAAATAGATCAATCAGTTGTAAGAGGACAGTGTCATTACAGTTAAACCATCAGGCTTCATCAGTCTGTTAATTGAACATTTATTTATCACAGAGTTTACAGTCTTGATCACAATTATAATACAGATTTAAAGTTAGCATTAATTCAATGCTGTCTTGCTATCTTGGAAATGTAGCTTGTGTGTAGCTTTGGAGGCCAGGCTTCACCTTCTGCAGCTACACCAAAGAGTAATACCCTCATTTTATGATAATTTCTTAATAACATGAATAAATTAATAAATATATTTGCAATAATGGATTACACAGCAGTGGGAATGCACGTTATTACAGTAGATGTCTTTTTACAAGTGCTTTAACCTGGTTTAAGTAAAATAATTCACCCACTGTTATCTTCACAGAGCAGAGCAGCTACCTGAACACTGCTCCCACAGGTGTTCATTATCTTGTTAATAGTATTACATCATGACTGTGTTTGACTGGATGCTGTGGCTCCTCTGAAAAAGAAAACCTCGAATCAGAAGTACTTGACTTTTTACCACAAACTTCATTTGTGGTACATAGCCAACTGTATATGTAGAAATAGCCACAGTCTTTAATTATCAATCATATTATTGATAAGTTCAGTGAATACTTTGTAAATGTTTTACCTGTCTTACTGGAGAAAACTGAAGAAAACCACTGAAGAAAAAAAAGAAAAAGAAAATATTGTTAATAAATATAAAAGCATGAGAGCTGGATGACTGAGCGTGCCTCAAGACAAATGTGAAAGCAAAACATCATGAAGATGTAAATGTGGGATTTCCAAACCACTAACATTTTAAAGGCGTCGCTTCCAGCTGGAATAGAAAAAAACTCACATGAAACCGGTTCACAAATAAAATGTCTGCAGATGAATGTTTCCCTGTTAGAGTGAAAACAATGATTGACAAATACAAACTATATGGAATGAGACGAAGCCAGTTAATTAAATACAGTGGAAAGATCTGGGATGAGGAGGTCGTACTGATTGGGTTAAAAACCATTTAAATAACATGAGAGAGTGTAAATGTTTGGATGTTTGTTTTTGTTGTTGTTTACTTTTGTGCTGATTACTTAAATTAATTTGTGCTTTGGTACGAATTTGAACCGGAGCACGTCAGAAATAGATTACAACATTAAAATAATGTGTGATTTCAGTTATTGTTCATTCGACAAAATTGAAAATCACCCATCAGTCATCGGCTTTGGTCCAAAGCGAAGCGTGTGATGAATCAATAACCAGCTTTTATTCTTTACTGTTCTTTGGTGTTTATGTTCCTTGGTGGGTGTGATGGGAAGCATGTACACAACTTCTTTACAAACACTATATTTGAGGCTCTGCAGGCCTACTTGTTGTTCCTAGAGTATTTAAAAGTAGAATGGGAGGCAGAGCCTTCAGTTTTCAGGCCCCTCTTCTGTGGAACCAGCTTCCAGTTTGGATTCAGGAGACAGACACTATCTCTACTTTCAAGATTAGGCTTCAAACTTTCCTTTAAAGCATATAGTTAGGGCTGGACCAGGTGAATCCTGTCCTGTCTGTTGCGACAGATGTCCGGCCCACCCTGAGCCGGGGGTTTCTTGCGCCTCATTGTTGGGTTTTTCTGTATTATTGATGATTTGCTTTGATGTTGCCATTTTTTCTGTAGTTAAATGAGTTTGTGTGTTGTTTCCGATGAGCTTCATGCTGTGTGTATGTCAAAATAAAATAAAATAAAGAAAAATAAAGGTGTGAGTGAGAAAAACAGCAGGTCTCCTGTCTGTGAGCAGAATGAAAATATGACATCATGCTCTGCAGCGTATTGAGAGGATGGAGGCGGGAGCCCTCATGGGTACGAGTGTAGAGCACCGAGGCTGCAAATGCATAATTAAAACTCTGAAAGGTTTCACTGCTGTCTTCCATTTCCTCACAATGACACGGCACACATTAGCAGAGCGCTGCTGCTGAGCTCCATTCATGCTTTAAACGCTCATCTGGGGAGGTTTTAACAAGAGCCCGATCAGCATCACACCTCTTTTTTTCTTTTTTTTAAATGACATCAGAAACAGCAGTATGCGACATTACGTGATGGCAGAGCTTCAGTTCATCCTTTGTCATTTTTTTTTTTTTTTTTTTTTTTTTTTTTAATAAATAGGACAGGGGGAATGAATGAGAGAAAGAGGGGGAGAGAAAGAAAGAAAACCAAAGGGGAGAAGAGACGGTGAGAAGGGGGGGGAAGAGAGAGAAAAAAAAAAAAGAACTCCTGGGTCACCTGTATGGAGAAAAAACAAACAAACAAAAAAAACAAACAGAGGAGACAGCAAACAACAAAGAGCAACATAATAATAGAGAAAACAAAGCACCATCACAATAAACTAGCTAGTCATAGATATGAATATTTACTAAATAATAAACGATATTGTGCAGCACGCAAGATAGACAGCGCACAGTGTGCTTTGAGGCAGCAGCCAAGAAAGCTTTAGTCCGCGTCTGTGAATACCCATGTGTGCATACCTGTGTGGATCAGCATGCTTGCATTCCAAAGGTTTCTCCATGTAATGATCTGCTAGGGAGTGTGGGGGGGCCACAGCCCCGTCCTCCAGGGTGTGAAGCGGGTATGGAGGAGATCAAAACTCCAGACATCCAGAGGCCCCCAGAACACAAGAGACCATGGAAGACCAACAGAGGGGCAGCCGCGCCACTGTTCCAGTAAGAGCTGAGGAGAGTCCCAGATGAGGGCTCGCCCAGCAGCCGCGGAGCAGAAGTCAGGGGGAGTTGCAGTGACGCGCCCGTGAACTCCGCCGGCCCCCAGCTGCGCCTGAGTGACCGAGCCCCAGGCCGAGAGGCCGGGGCACCCCACCTCCAAAGGGGCCCGAGCGAGCCCCAGGCCCCAGGCCCCGACAAGCGGCCGCCAAGGAGTGAGCCGGTGTGTACCCGGACGCCCACCCCCAGACACAAAGAACCACCAACACACCGACACCTGAGGGAGTCCGCCACCAGCAGGGGAAGTGGTGGTGGGTGGAGATAGGCCTCCAAACCTTGGAGGGCCTGAGATGTCCCCAGAGAGGTGGCGTCTGATACCCAACCTGACATATAGACACAGACATACAGGCACACACAGACACAAACATCCATTCCCACCCTCATGCTCTCATATGCACTTACTCCACACTCAACCAACGTGGAGACAGACATAAAGAGACGCTGTACACACGATCACACTCCCCAAGCGTACTCTACAAACCGGGTCTAGGTACCCTTGCCCCTGGAGGGGGGAATTGCACCCAGACCCAGGTGGTGTTACCCTTTTCCCTGCGGTGGGGAGAGGCAGACCACCCCGACTCCGCAGCAGCAGGGAGGCCCCACACCCCAGACCGCAGTCGGACGGCCAACTCCTCCTCCTAGCCCCCCGCTCCAGCAGGTCGCAGAGAATGGGGGTGGGAGAAGACTCCAAACCTCCCTCCACCCGCTCATTGTAGTGTTGATGCATATGTGTTCTAAGGTGCAATTAAAACCCAGGAG